GGTAGTCTACGAGTGTAGTGTTGTTTGGTGTGCAATGATTGGGAAATATAATAATAGCCGACTGAATAGAAATGAGAAACTAATCGTTGATTACATTTAAATTCAAGGCTAACGACAAAACAACAAGTCGAGAAAATTATATATATTTTTGTCTTACATTTTTTGAGTAACCGTTTAAATAATGTATACATTGAGTGCTAATAATGGATATAATTTACTAAAAAATATGAGAGAGAGAGAGAGAGAGAGAGAGACTCTTAAGTCCATAAAACTTAAGATATTATTCACAAAGACTTATAATTTATTCACAATTCATGTTATTTTCATGACTACTGTATGTCTAAAACTATCACTAATTTAAAAGTATTCAATGCTCTAGTGTTTAGCAATTATTATTTTATTACATCTTAAGAATATCGCAAAAAAACTATAATAAAATTACTCATAAAATATTCAGCAAACTATTAAATGAAAGTATAAATAGTATATGAGAGCGTAGGTAGTAGGCTATATTATATATATATATCATATAAATATAAATTAAAGACTTTGTATACATTAATAACTTATATAAAAGTTTTCCCTAAAAATAAAATGTATATTAAAATATTGCAGCAAAAAAATCATATTTAAAATAAATTATTAATACTTTAGTTTTCGCTGTAATTATATTCGCAATAATTTCGCATTGAAATCGCTATAAAAATCAAATAAAAAACTATTTTTTCGTACACACAAAAAAGTACATTACTTTTAATGGCATATAATAATGTACTGTACAGTGACTACACATACATATCCTGCACAAACCTAAAAAAATTTAAATAAAATTTAATTGATTTCAATACACGCCTATTAATATAACTATAAGTTTTTTGAAGCTATTATTTTGCGGGTTTTAAAGGAAAACTTTTTTGTCGCAATCAATTTATCTGTGAATTAATTATATATAAAATAAAAACTTGTATTCAAGTGTATGTAGTAATTGTGGAGACTTTTCCCTAAAAAACTTTTTCTCATTTATAATTCAAAACTTGAGTTTCGCTGAACAGCGAGATATAAATCATTTGCAAAAACATACACTCATTCGCCATCAAAATATATATGAAATATAATTGTTTTTATAGTTTTATGCAAAGTGTACATAACTTATTGAAAATTTTCATATTTGTATTATTTGTAGTACTAATTAAAATTCTGTGTACTAATGTAAATAAATATTGGTTTATAGATTCATTATTAATAGCGAATTATTTTACGGTTTAACAGCGATTTTAAAAACAATACCTCATTATAATAATAAATATTTTATGTGGAAAAATCTCATACAAATTAAATGAACTCCAATTGAAAACAATATATAATACAATTCATGAAAGATATTAATGACTTTTTAAGTGAGAATTAATAGCAGAGAGAGAGAGAGAGAGAGAGAGATCATAACATAAATATTAATATCATATAGTCTACGCTATTGTATATAAATAGGTGTTGACTTTTATTTTTATTAATACATGTATTTCTCAAATAAAAAACATAACTCTCTCTCACTTAAGTGTACTGTATATAAAAAATATATAATTATTTTTTCAAAATAAATAACCTTTTCCTATGCCTTACGTATTGTCTTTCCCTCCCATTCCCTACACCTTAAAAGCCTTCGACTCACCACTGAAGTCACGAAATGTTTATATAAACCAAACAAACAGTTGTTAATGTATTGCAGAATATAATAGCGATTCTTATATTAGAAATCGATTTACAATATGTAATAGAGTGTCGACAATAAGTGCTGGCTATTAATACCCCATAAATAAAACTATTAAACTGTCATTTGCAATCACAATTAAAACAAATAATATTTAAGAATTTGTACATACAAAAATATTATTATAAATAATCTCATACTTATGGCACTTTTTAATAGTAGTACCGGTATTTTCAAATAAGCGAGTATTCATTATAAGTGTATACAGAATATTCTGCATATATATACATAAATCAAACAAATATTCTTATAGCCATTCTGGAAACACGTAACCAGTATTCGAGTAGTTTATATGGAAATGGAGACAAGGATTTCGCGGGCACTGGTATGTCATGTCATAAGGGGGGTGAGGGAGGGGGTCAGTAGCCATACTTCTCCAAGTCTCGAGTTTGTGCTCCTCGAGCTCCTCCATCTTAACTAAAGGCGACTTATAATAAGTTCGTAATATATTGATGAAGTCCGTGATGGTGAGCATCCCTACGAACTCCTGTTTCGTACTCTCCCATATGTCTCGAGTTTGTGCTCCTCGAGCTCCTCCATCTTAACTAAAGGCGACTTATAATAAGTTCGTAATATATTGATGAAGTGGCACTACCACTCGTAGGGATGCTTGAGGACAAAGCATGAGAGGGTATCCCCGCGGCGGGCATGTGGACAGGTGCTCCCCTATCTGTAGCGTTAATTATAGTTGTTATCAGTGTACTATAAATTTACAAGAGTTCAATAGTTTGGTAAACATATTCATATATTAAGTATTTGTAATGTATGTGGCTATTATGTAATTATATACTAGTTTATTGTGTTTATAACTTTTGGAAAAATACTTATTTTTCGCAGTATACCCACAAATTTCCTAATATTAATAAGCATTAATGTAAATTGCTTGACAAAAAAAATAAAACAATTTGTCACCGGGATACCTTTATGATTACCATTGTATTGTGTGTGCGTTTATTTGCATAATGTTTTATTATGATAGAGAAAATCATGTGTGTTTTCACGCAATGTTTTTCGGTTATAGTTATATGTTTAGCAACTTTTTTATAATGTATGTAAAAAACCATTGGTTTTGTTTAACAAAAGTCATTTCCCTTAAGAATCGCTATATTATTAATAACATTATTGTAATAATAATATGTTTTTTTCGTAAGAATTAATGTAAATATTCTGTGCATTCATGTCATAGAAATGGTATTACTTATACATATTTGCCAAACCTAGTGAAAAACAAACAAAAATATGTTTTTCGCACAGAATTGTGCTATAATTTGTATCATAAAAGCATTACTAATCGTTAAAACTCAAGAAAAAAACTATTTTCAGATTACAATAAGACATCGATTGCTTGTTTGCAAAGAATTCTTATTTCCCAATCATTGCACACCAAACAACACTACACTCGTAGACTACCAGCCCCGTGGTGGTGGTTGTAGGAGCTCTCGACTCCGTAAATAAAGTACTTGAGCCCTGAATATTGTTATATATATTTTGCACACATATATAAGTTATATACACTTGTCTTAAGTCTTAATATATATTTCCAATCAAAACCCGATTCAATAGGCTATGTGTTTGCGAAGCCTTTCATACACACGATATTAATGTCTTTAATATTGATATACAGACACAACTCACGCTATAATTAATTTTTATTAATAATTAGTTTTAGGTTTTGCAATAATTTTAGCAATATATTAATGAATTGCTATAATAATTACTATTATATAATATTATAATAATACAATTGGTTATAATGCTAGGTGTTTTTCCACTCGTATGCCAATAATTAGATGTTTTACGGTTTATTTGATTTATTATAAGTACGGTATACTAAACGTATAAATTCATATGTTTAGTCAATTTGTATACAATTGGTTACTATGCCATAAAAATTTCTCGTGAATTCATTTCAAGTATTCATTTTCGATGACAAATCAAATCCTGTTTTTTGTTTTAATTTTCAATATTAACTTTTCTGATGTCAATTAGTTGGCAAATATAGAGTACAGTAAAATAGAAATTATTATTACTTATGTAAACAACACGTTAACAAAAAATATATGCACACATTTATATGCAAATAATTAACTCGAGCATAAATTTGCTTAAAAATTACCCAAAATTTCCTCAACTATTGAACAAAAAAATTATTTTTCACTACAAAAACATATCTGATATTTAAATCTCATTCACCTATAGATGTCCTCAAAGAAGAAACCCAACCACTAGTCAGTATCGGTCCGGACGAGAGGTCTGTATATATATTCATAGCCATAGACTAATACCCATCTATTGATAACTAATTGGTGTCTATTATTCACCACTACCTAATGGACAGCCTATTCAACGCAATTAAATTGTTAATCCATAAGAAAGTACACCGGCTTCCAGTCATCGACCCCGAGACGGGAAATGTATTATACATACTGACCCACAAACGAATTCTTAAATACCTGTTCCTTTATGTATGATATTTATTGGCATTTTAATTGATTTATGAAATTATTAAAACAATTTTTCGACCAAAACTTATACACATAAATGTATTGTCGGTATAACTCATACAGAATTTCATACGATTTGTATATAAGTAGGTTTAGCGTGTAGTTCATGAATTACACACAGAATTTCGTAGTGATTTAGTTTATAGATAGTATTTCATAGCGATTCTGTGAGTTATTTATTTTTGTATTTAAGTTACCAGCGAAATACTCGCTCACAAATGTTATTTATTTTTAGCCAAAAAAGTCATTTAATATGCGTTTCGTTATCCGAAATGTCAATACAATTACAGTAAATGTTATATTTAATGGCTTAACATTTTTTTGTTGGCTGCCATTTAATGCAATGATTTTGATTTGTATACATGTTTTTAAAGGACACACACTTTAATGTAAAATAATAATTCATTAAAATGTTAGTATAGACTATTCAAATCGACACTAATTAATTTTATATATCATTGATAGCAATAACAAAATAAATAACAAAATAGTATTTTATAAATTAGTTATTAAAACAAATTTATTCAGTACTTACAAATGATTTACGAAAAATAAGATTTGATCGGAAAACTGATTATAAAAATCTCGTAACAAAACAAAAAGTATTAAAATTAATTATGAATTTACTTTCCCTGTATATCAACCACTCGGCACCAGTACTACAATCGACTTCCAATGCCATCCTATCTGAATAAGCAGCTCAAAGAGCTGATGATCGGGACGTACGAGAACATCGCGGTCACCACCACCAACACCCCACTCATTCTTGTGCTCCAGCAGTTCATTGAGCGCCGGGTGTCGGCACTGCCCGTCGTCGACAAACGGTCCAAAGTGGTCGACGTCTATGCAAAGTTTGATGTCATTGTATGTATCGGTGATTATCGTGTGTAAAGGGGTTTGTCATAAGGTTTTAGTTTTGTTTGGGTTTTGTTTTTTATGAGGCATTCAATTTTTATCTATCTATTCAATTGAGTTTTAATGCCATTTTTGATTTGATTTTTAGTTTTTTTTTGTTTAGGTACACGCTAAGTTTTTTTAATTTTATGTAGTATTAGATATAATTTGTAGTGATTTTGCAATGAAATTATTGTTTTTTGTAAAGTATTTTATTTTATTAGAGAGAGAGAGAGAGAGAGAGAGAGAGAGAGAGTGATCTTGAAACTACTACATTAAATAATCTGTATAATATTAAAGTTAGAATTTAAATTAATTTTACAAATACACTAAATTTTTATAAATTCATATAATTAGTAGTGTTTTAATTAAATTTTACTCAACCATCGAGTAGCTTAATATTTCCTGTACTTGCTCATTATTATACAGTAATTCAGTGCCATTGGAAATGGTGTAGTCATGAAACCAATAAATCAAAGATTTATATGTTTGATGGCATACAATGAGACAAAACTCAATTGAAATACTGTATAAAATATGCCCTCAATTAACGGCAAACACATGAAATCATAGATTAAAGGGCTTTCACGGTCTCGTAATTAGTGAGTGCTTATATAATATATAGCGCCGGTATGTCTAAATAATTTAATGAATACCTATTACTACTCCTTAAGACATTGATTAGTTTGAGTTTTAAATTTACAAAAACTCTAATTTTTACACATTATGTATTGTATTATTACTTCTAATTTTAACAAGCTATGTTTAATTGGATTAATAACTACTACCTGTGTTTTTTACCTCCCTGTCCAGCATTTAGCCGCTGATAAGACGTACAATAATCTGGACATAACAGTGAAGAAGGCACTGGAGCATAGAGACCAATCGGAACGGGTTATCAAATGCACAATGAATGACACACTGCACCAGATTCTCGAGAAGATTGTCCAGGCTGAGGTACACCACCATTCACACAACATTACAGTGACAATTGTGCACAGTACCCTGGTCAAACATGTTTATTATACTACTTTATAGTGTTCCTTAAGAGTTAGCTAATAGGACTGTTATTTAAATAACATTATTTGTTATTGTATTATAGTTTATTTATTTACCTAGATAGTTATTACAATTTTTGTGTTATTTGTTATTTTAATCATAGCCTACATACAGACCACCCTTTCCCTTATTTTTATTTATTTAACTATTTTTAACATACTGTACATAAAAAATAATTACCTGTAAATCACTATCAAAATCTAAGCTACCGTTCCCATCAACCAGCACTCGTCAACACAATTGTCATTGCATTAAACATACCGAAAACTATCAAACATTTAATACCATTTTCATTTGGGGCACCTGTAGGTCCACAGGATAGTGGTGGTGGACAGCGAGGACCACGTGATCGGAATCATATCGCTGTCGGACATCCTATCGTTTCTAGTGCTCCGACCCGTGGGCTTAGAGCGCAAAGACATTGATTGCGATAAACTGGTGGAGGAGACGGCCGAAGAGGTGACCGACAGTGACCACAACGACGACAATACGGTGCCCACGAAGGCTCCGGCAGCCGACGAACAAAAGGCGACCCCAATCGCGGCCACTGCCAAGTGATGTGTCGGTGCGATGGGTGTGTGGGGGGACAGGGATGTGATTGTGTGTCGGAAACCATTGATTGTAGAAATGGATGCGAAGAATATATTAATTATTTTCTAATTTAATGGCCGTTTAATACATGGATTGTAATTATCATTACTGGATGAGACGGGTAGTCAACTCACACGCGACCTGAAGAATATTCTGTTGTTTTTTTGTGGTATGATTTTCGATGAAGAATTGTGCGATTCCGAGTGATTTATGGGAGGGGAAAGGGATGCGAAAAGTGTTTTTCATTTGGATTGTAATATTGAGTTTGATTTGGGAAACGGATTATGCATTTCACGACGAGTTGATTGTATTGGCGTTTGGTTTGGATTTGTTTTTTACACTGAATTATAACTTATTTGTGAGACTTATTTGACCGGTGGTTACGAAATGCAAAACTTATTCAACACAACAAACATTTACAACAAAAATGACTTTTAATTTAATAAAAAGCGATAAATTATTATATATATAATTATATAGCGATTTTTTGCGATATACTGTGTTTTATATTAACAATTAATTACTATTATGTATACAATTATTATATATAAACACTCAACACATACAACAAAAACGAGTGATTATTATCATTTCGATAGACAATTAATGAATTGAATTATTATTTGTAATTCATTAGTGTTTTTGTTTTTTCAAATTCAACACAACTTTTGAATTCAAATGATTTTTGGTGTAAATATTTATTATTTTTGATTACATTTTTCCACTCATTTTACGGTCGGATACTGTGGACTGGATTTTGAATGAAAATGAATGAAAAACTAAACCATGGATTGAATTGTCGCACAAAAAACTTTATGTAAAATACAAAAATGAAAATCTAATTATAAATATAACTTATATTTTGAACGCAAAACGAAAACAATATTTGCCAATAATTTTACGCCGGAATTACACACAAAATAATTTACAAATTAATAATTAATTAATAATTTTCTAATAATAATAATAATAATTAACACCAATAATGATGCCATGAATTGGACATACATTTAGCGATTGAAATGTGATTTTAATAATAAATATAGTGTTCATAATGTGTATAAATATATAATAAGATATATTTTATGAATGATTTGGATGTTCACTATATATCGAGAATTATGCGGAAATGGATTACGAGTACCAGGAGTACAGAAATTACTATATTTTTGGGTCTACTATAATGAATATTATTGTTATTATGGAAACAAAATTGAATAACAATTCTGTGATTAACACTAGAAATACTGATTTAATAATAATAACTCCAATGAATGAAATGAATGATTAAAATGAAAAAAATGGCGAAAAAAAACTTTTTTATTTGTAATAGTTTTTTGTGTTTTACCTCATATTCTGAGTGTAAATATTCTGTACATTAATTGACACCACGATAGCGATTCTGTAAAGAATATTCCCAATCATTGCTATAAATATATATAACTATTGCTATTAATTACTATAAATATAGTTATGATTATATAAACGACAGACAAATGAATGTATAATAAAAATGATTGTAATATTTAAGAGATAATTAGTTTTTTAGTTACAATTTTAAGAGAAACAAATTACCATGATACAACAAAACAAATTGTATATTAAACGTGAAAACAAACTATAAGTCATTTTTAGTTATTATAATTATTTTTTGAATTAACAGTAAAATTGATTTGAATTTAAAAATTATTTTTGTCTTATTTCATCTAAATTTGTGTCAAAAAAATATAACACATTATTAAACAAAACGCCAACAAAATCAAGGATTTAATGAATAATTTAATTAATAAAAAGTAAATCAAATACAAAAGTCAAACTCCACAAGATTATTTATTAAATTTTTGAATTAATTTTTATTTTATATCAACCTAGCTAAGCATAGCATAACATAACTAGGAAAACAATAAACTAGCATAACTATCAATCTAGCTATACATAACTTAGTCGTTGTAAATTAAAGTTGCAAACGTATAGCAATTTGTTCATAAATTTATATTAGTATTCAATGGATTTTTACAAATATTGTTGGCTTTTAAAAATCATTTTAAATCAAATTATATGAAAATTTAACTTTAAATCAGAGAAAACTTCAAACAGGTTTTTAACATAGGATTCAATTACTTTGCGTTAATTTTACCGTATTCCCGCGCAACCACCGGCATGCCGGTGTAAAGTGAGGTTCATGAGACTGCCGTTATACCCCGGGGTATAACGGCATGCCGTAATAAGTGAGGTCTAAAATATGTTTGAAGTTTTCTCTGATTTAAAGTTAAATTTTCATATAATTTGATT